TCAGCAGCGCAAGGGTCTGAAATAACAATTAGACTGCTAAGTTTCCTGATAAGGATAAATATAATTTCAGAAGAGACATTTAAATTTGGTAGAAAAGAAAATATCCTTCCAGGATGTAAAACACTTAATTTTTTTAATTTTGAAGGAAAATAACAAAACTGCCTTCCAGCTGCAACAGTGATTGATATTCACAAACCTTGACGTTGCCCCATTTGCACTTGCACTGACATTTTCCCTCAGGGATATGTGACTATTTTCTGATTTGGGGAAAATGAATTTGTTTATGTAGAAGACGTTTAAACTTTAAAATGCATGCTTACTAATAGCTAAGTTTTCAGTGTCCACAAGATAGGGAGGTACTTCACTAAGACATGTGAAATCAAAAACAGAACACCAAAAACAAATAGTATTGAACAAATTTCCAAAAATATAAAAATGTCAATGTTGGGGAAGGTGAAATGAATGAACATGTTAATTGTTGGAAGGTGCGTAAATTGGAGTGACATCTTTGGAAAGTTTTTTATACATATCAGAAACTTTAAAATGATCATTCTCTTTGATTCAGTAATTCCAATACTGGGAATGCATGTAGAAAAATAATCTGAAACACTGAAAATGGCTTATGCAAAAGATGTGCACTGCAGCAATATTCATACAAGTGAACAATGGAAACATGTTAAATGTCTATAATAAGGAGCTAGATAAATTTGGTAAAAAGCAGTGAATATGTGATTACACTATTATTAAAATTATACACATGAAATATATTCTATTGTTAAGTGAAAGAAGTAGGATATAAATATCACGTTGAGTGTGTTTTTGTAAAAAAGGGACTATTTCTCTGATATTTTTATTTTTGGCTCCAATGCCATTTGTAGGTAAGAGGAAACAGCAGGTGCCTGAAATTTTAATCACGTTGTCCCCTGGCTATACCTTAATAGTTTGCTTCAGAATTTGAGCAGAGAATCAGAAATTAGAGAAATTTTTTTTATTCTATAGTTTTAAAAAGTATATAACTGTGAAATGGGATAAAGTACTACCTTGTCTAAAAAAATCAAGTTTCTAATTAAGATGCTGGTACATTGAATTCAGTACTAAAATACAGTTGACCCTTAAACAGCATGAGTGTTAGGGGCACCAACCCTCTGAGTGGTTGAAAATCCACTCATAACTTTACAGCCAGCTCTCCCTCAACATTGGTGGTTATGCAACCAACTGCAGTTGGTCTAGAACTGTAGTACGTATTTACTGAAAGAAACTCACATATAAGTGGACCCACAAAGTTCAAAGCTGTGTTGTTCAAGGGCCAACTGTAATTACATTTCATAAGGAAAAATGTGTGTGATAGTTCAATATGTGAATAACAAATATAAAAAAGAATCACAGTAACTTGGAGGCTCCAGAATTTATCTAAAATATCATTAAGACTGTGGTTCATGAAAAAACTAAGTAGCTTTTGGTGGTCTAGAACCTAAGCTCAATAAAGACAGGTGATGTCAAAGTATCTGCAAGAAACAAAGGCAGTTATTGCTAAAAAATGATAGTGAAAAGTGCCTTATATATTTCTGCAAAATTTAATGCCCACATGGACAACAGTGGAAAATACATACATTACCGTAGTTGCTGAATGAGATGAGTTTTAAGGAAAAACTATAAATTCTATAGAATATCCTCATAGGCATTCTGAGGGCTGCTAGCATGTTAGGGTTTAGATATTTTATCTGTTTCTAGAGTAGCAATTATAGGACTAAGCTCTTCAAACAATGTTAACAGATAAAGAAAACATCCTTTGTTTTAAAACATTATTCATTAAAAAAACCTTTCACCTACAAACTTTTATTGTATTTGCTTTATAATAAGAAAAGTCATTATTGTAGAAATATTAGAAAACAAAGAAAAGCAAAACAAAAATATCTGTTATCCCACTACTAAGAATAAGTAAACATTGTAGACATTTGGTATATATCCTTCAAGGCTTCTTAAGTGTTTCTGTGTGTGTACATATCTATATATTATATAAATATATACCTCTACATGCCTATCTCTATATCTCTATATCTATCTATCTATCTATCTATCACTTAAAAGCAAACCCTATCCATTTTTGATGGTGGATTTTCATACACTTGGAAACGTCTTTTCTGAGGGCATAAAGAAAAATGAAAACAAAGGAGACCTCTTAGTGGAATGAAATTTTAAAATTTCCTAGAAAACTGCACTAGACCTGGATTTTATTCTTTTGAGTTGAAAGTGGCGAGGCAGTCTGTTTTTAAAGCCAATTAACGTGCTATTGGTATTTGCTCAAAGAAGGAGGACTGGGACTATGACAAACAAAAAACATCCTCTCAGCCTTTCTTAATTTCTCCTATATTCAAGATTGGACTTTCTCTAGTTGCATTCGAAAGGCAAGAAAGGACACTAGGCAGAAAAGCTAACACCACAAAAAAAATGGGGCCCAATATAGGTTGAAGAAGATAGGATCTGCATGGAGGCACTTTGTTTGGCATCTCCAGGGGAATTAGTCTTCTGGCTTTTGCTGAAGGAATGAAGGGCCAACCATTAACAGCATGCTCTTCAGCACAGAGCAAGCCTTCCCGGCATGAAGAAGCTGTGCTGAAGGGGCCTGCCCTGGCACACCTTGTGCATGCATATCTACACGGAAGAGTCTCTCAAATGGCCTCTGTGCTGCCAGTCTTGCCCCGGGTCCAGTCTACTCTCCATACTGCAGCCAGGTGGGAGGGATCTTCCCATAGTGCAAATGAGATCACATCACCTCCTTCCTTTGATGGCTCCCCATTGCTCTTAGGGTAAATCTCAACTCCATAATATGGCTCAAAAATATCTTGTGTGAACTGGCTCCTGCTTACCTCTCCAGCCTCATCTCTTTCTTTTTCTTAGTCTAAGTTCCAGTCATACTTAACATCTTTCAGTTCTTTGCAAAAGAGGTCAAAGACTCCTCATATACTGTCCCTTTAGTCTAGCCATGTTATGTCCTATCCAACCCTCAAAGCTCAGCTGACAAATCATTTTCTCAGGGAGGCCTTCCCAGATTCTTATGCCATGTTAGGTCCTACTGTTATACATTGACATAGTTTCCTGTATCTAACCTGTCATAATGTTCACCCCTTTTATTAGTATTACTTAACTCCCTATTTTTCCTGATAGCTCAGAGAAGACAGGGATGTTTCTACCTCGTTTACCACCAAGTACAGTGATTAGGACATGGTAGATTCTTAATAATTATTTACTAGGAGGGAAGAAAGAGGAATGCAAGAATAAGAGTGATCCTTCACATCTTTTGGTAGTACATTCAGAGGACTTTTGTGACTCCATGAAAACAAGTTAATAAAGTACTTTTTCTTAATTTCATTTGATGTGCCATTTCTTTTGAAAACTGCACATGTTAGTTCTCTGTAAGTACAATTTCCTATACCTGAATTCTTGTTGAATTTTCCCTATGATTATTTTCACGCTGGTCACTGATGCATGATCTTCCTTACCAGTAATTAGGTGTCATTTATAATATAGTTCCTGATTAGATTAATTTATTCAAACAGGCTTGGGCTTTTTAATTTACTTTTATTTTGCCTATTTTATTTATATGCCTAAAATGGCATGTTCTCATGTATATATGGCAGCACCGAATATAAGTAATTTTGGTCTGCCCCCTAGCTTTTCAACATAAAGAGTTGCTGAAGAGATTCATTTTATCAAGTGCCAAGTGCTGCATTGTGTTGACTCCCAAATTGATGAGCTCGCTTCCTGTCTTTTTTTTATTCTTGATTTCTGACAATCCTCTTATATTACTACTTAAAGATTCAGGAATGACATTCAGTAAGCAGACTTTCGCGGTATTATTTATGGTAGAAGTCAACTAGCGGACAAAGTGCCTTATTTACAGGCACTGTACAATTTCAAGTGGAGCTGCCTAGGCAGTAGGTGAGATGCTGATCCAGAAGAGATACCTTCATCATTTATAATCACCCCATCTCATAATATTCACTTAGTCAAAGGTTCTACCTGAGTATCTGGTAATATGTGGTTTTACTACGTTCCTTCCTGTGTTTAATAAGGGAGTACAAGGTTGAAACCTGAAAGTTTTAGGCTTTATGCCTTTATGTCAGGAAAGAACTCTATCATCTGGATCTTTGCTTAAGTGGCCAAGGTCCTTGTCACTTCACCCCTATATTAATATATCCTTTTCAATTTTTAAGAGGTGATGTTTCCCCTTGTGTATAATCAAATTAGGCTCCATTAACAACACTTGAAGACAATTAAAAGGCAATGAACTGTGTATGGATTTTGGTTTGTGAAGTTACCTGGTCTTCACGGGAAATTCCCTTCTTTGCCTGCTGCTTCCTCAAAGCTTCATACTTTTGCTTTTCTCGTCTGTATTCTGCAACAGCACCATCTGGAGCAGCCTCTTCCTCTGAGGAATAATAGAATAGTCTTAGGATAAATACTAAAAAGGCTCTATGGAAGCTCCACAATGATTACCTAGATTAGAAAGTGATTGATGTTAATTTATCAACTAATTTTATAAACATCTTTATTATATACTGTACTATTGTAGTTGTTCTCAACTGTACTTATTTGACTATAAAATCACCTATCTCACTTTTTTTCTTCAATTAATTTAAAAAAAATTTTTATTTTATATTGGAGTATAGTTGATTAACAATGTTGTGTTAGTTTCAGGTGTACAGCAAAGTGACTCAGTTATACATATACATGTATCTATTCTTTTTCAAATTCTTTTCCCGTTTAGGTTGTTATATAATATTGACCAGAGTTCCCTCTGCTATACAGTAGGTCCTTGTTGCTTATCCATTTTAAATATAGCAGTGTGTACATGTCAATCCCAAACTCCCTAACTATCCCTCCTCCTAACCCTTCCCCTTGTCTATCTCACTTTTAAAATAAGTAAGGTATTCCTAAATTCAGCAATACCATTTTACATTATTCTCTTGCCTTATAAGATATAACCTTTCAATATTGGTTGATTTTCCAATTACCTGCCACTTTTGCTCCCCAGTTAAAATAATAACAAACAATTTCAATTTAATGGCATCATAAAATATAAATATATCTAACAAAAAATCAGGACATTTACCTAGAGCAGATAGAAATAATTTTCACTAAATTAGAAATTAGAAAAAAAAATCTATGGATTTGATCCTGCAATAATTCCATACAAACAAAGATTAGCTAACATCTGGGTTCACAGAATACAGGTTTGCCTCAAAAGAAAAAAAAGTACTAACATTTTACATTATGTTACATTTATATATATTAATGAAAATTTGTGACTTAAGGAAAAAAAACACAAAAACCTATCTCTTCTCATCTTTGGCTGGCAAACCAAGATAAGCCAGTTGAAATCAAGAATACCAGTAATCTTTCTATTCAAGCCTTGGTTTGTTGCTTGCCTCTTTGTTACCTAGTTTGAGGAAAATAATTAATGAGTAATATATTAATAATCAGCCATTTTGTTCAAGAGATTGTCTAGTTAAAAAAAATGTGTGAACTAAGAAACAAGTAGTCTTTTTATGTTTACCTAATATGATTTTGATGTTGGTCAAAGGGTACAAAGATTCAATTATGTGGGACAGAAAAGTTCTGGAGATCTAATGTACAGCATGGTAACTACAGTTAATAATACTGTATTGTATAATTAAAATTTGCTAAGAAAGTTGATCACCACACAGACACACACAAACTGTAACTTTGTAAGGTGATGGATATGTTAATTAGCTAGACTGTGGTAATCATTTCACAATGGTTTCTCTAGTTCTTAGTCTTCTGAGATTTTTAATTGTCTGGCTTTAGGATGTCTTTCCTCTCCTCCTGTTTTTATTTCTAGCCAAAATGAATAGGCAAACAGCTTGAGAATACCTGTGAAATCAGCTGACCTTTCATTATGTACATCTGTGATACCAAGCTTAAGCCTGCTAAGGTTCCATCGGCACTGCATGGAAACTATAACCCAAACACTTCTACATGGTACACAGAGTCAAATGCAATGATATCTGCTGCACAAATTCAACTGTGTGAAAAATATGGTCAACTCTTTTATTTCCTAACTGAGTATATCACATCAGTATAAACTACTTCTGTTTATAGTGTGATCAAATGTTCACAGCACATTCATTTTTCATGTTTTTATTTCTTAACACTATACTCTGAGTAATTTCCTTAGCTCTGTATTTCAGTTCACTAATTCTCTGTTTAGTTGTATCTAATCAGTTTTTAAGATATAAACTGTCATTGATTTTAATAATCATAGCTTAAAATTCTAGACACTTGTTATGTTTTATCTTCCAGATTATTCTTGGGGATCCTTCTACTATGTCTTCTGACTCTCTCCCCAGAGTGGTTATTTCCCCATGTGTTTTCTAATTTTTGACTGTGCGTGTACCTACAGCTAGAGCTACATCTTCATCATGCTCCATAGGAATCCTTGGCACCCAGGATTATGTAAGGAGTCCTACAGAGAGCTTTTGCATTTGTTTCTACAAGGAAATTAAGGGGTTCCATTAGTGCACAGCCATTTTTTCCCCAAGTTAATTTCCTGGCTTAGGATTCCTGTACCATATAGGCAGTGTACATTCAGACTTTATAGCTGTGTCTTGTAGAGTTTTAGAGTTTTGATATTTTTTATGATAGACTTTTTTTTTTCCTCCCACATATAGCTCTGAAAAATGACATGCTTCTTTGTGGCCTTCCTGACCAGGTGGACAGTTCTTTTAGTTCCTTCCTCTTTTTTTTTTTTTGCGGTACATGGGCCTCTCACTGTTGTGGCTTCTCCCATTGTGGAGCACAGGCTCCAGATGCGCAGGCTCAGCGTCCATGGCTCACGGGCCCAGCTTCTCTGCGGCATGTGGGATCTTCCCAAACCGGGGCATGAACCTGTGTCCCCTGTGTCGGCAGGCAGACTCTCAACAAATGTGCCACCAGGGAAGCCCCAGTTCCTTCCTCTCTTGATCCAAGACTATATCTCTGTCCAAGTGTGAGATTAAAACCTCAGCTTCTAGCTATCAGAGCCTACGTCTGGTTCCAATATCTCCCTGGGCAACTGTAGTGTCAACTTGCCCACTTAATGCTCTGGTTATGCCTCACCTTTGTTTCTGGTACGTAGGAATTTTCTTTTCTTTCTTACCTTCTCTCTCTCCCCCCCCACCTCCTTTCACTTTCCCTCACCCTGCCAGCCCCCTCTCTGTCTCTTTCAAGCTTAGCTAAGTATTTAAATAGGGCTGGATCATATTTTATCCAGAATTTCTATATATTTGTAGAAGGAGAAAGTTCTGTCTTAACTCAGTCCATGTTGCCAGAACAGGAAGTAGCACATTCATTTCTCATGTACTTGAATGCCCCTGGATAAACAAAAATTGAATAAGTGACTGGATGATTTTAGTCACATAAAACTAGCTAATAAACTATAAAAGGAGTTTGAAAAAAAATCAGTTTAAGTACAGAGTGCTCTACTTCTGCTTTTCTTAAAAATCTCAGTATATGCTGGATGATAATTTATAAATAATGACGCAGTATGACAACTATTTGTTATTAACTGAAATTTCTATAAAATATATGCTAAATAAATAGGAATGAAGAATGGGGGGAAAAAAGAACATTTAGTAAAAACCTACTATATGTTAGGTACCATGCTAAGGTTCTTTGACTATCCATGAAGAAAGTATCTATAAACCTATTTGACAAATTAGGAAACAGGATAAGACCACAATTAAAATATACTAAAGCTGGAACTTGAACCCAGGTCTCTATGATACTAAAATCCCACACTGTGCCCTACTGTCTTCAATTAAAACTTCAGTTCAGAAAATAAAATTTAGTAAGTGTTGCCCACATGCCTGACACTCTAGGAAATGCTATGAATGATATCTAAAGCATACATGATGCAGGCTTTTCATTCTAGAAAGTAATCTAAAGAGTAAAATAAACATAATATATGTAAAAATAATTAAGAAATCAAGCCATTGATTGTAAGTATTATGTTGCTGATTCTTGGGTAGAATATTAGCCACCTAATATGTCTGAAACACAAGAAAACTTCGAAGAAAATATTCCAATCTGACATAAAAAGGCATCAGGTCACCATACTGGATGTGTCCTGATGAAATAAAGTCCTACCAACAAAAAAAGGTCCTGAATTCCTCCCTGACCATAATAAATGGGAACTGCAGTCTGCCAAACAGTGGGTTAATGAAAATAATTTCCTAGAAAGAGTTCTTTGTGGCTTTTCTTGATTCTCCATAATTAATCATATATTGTCCTCATTTGAATTTTTAAACACTTTGTAGCTGCTAACTTCGTAATATCAGAACTGCCTATTTGTACTGCCCCCCTCGGCTATAAACTCAAATGGCAGGGACAGTGCCCTGTTTGTGGACTAGTATATCCCTAGCATATAGTATGTACTCAATAAATAGTAGCTGAATGGACAAATGAACAGAGTGATCATTTTTAGATCTTAAATTACAACAGTGTGCATGGTTGCCTTATAGCTCTTGCTGGATAGAATGGCTCCTTGAGGGCCTTGTAGGGGGTTAGGTCCCCTAGTGTACAAATACTTTTTCTGTAGATAGCTGCCTAATTAAGTTGAGTTGTAAGGAATTAGATGATTTCTGACACTTATTAAATAGAGGTGAGAGGAGTAAAAGTCAACTTGAAGGCAATTATCCCTGATTAAGCCCTTGAGCACTGAGCTTTCCTAGTAGAATCCCTGTAAGAGCTGCAGCCATTCATTGCAGCCATTGAGTAAATGTAGCCATTCATTGAGGCTTCATCTCCTTGAGGAGCTACTGAGGATAAACTACATATCCTCCACCCCAGTCAAAATGCCTGTTTTTTGGTTTGTTTTAGTAAGAAAATCCATTATAGAAATGATAACAGTGGGAATATTCTGTGACATTAAAATGAGAGCCTACATATAATATATTCATAGTTATAATCCATAATATTTATTGAGTGAACCTGTACTAATTTTGTTTTGAAGATAATTGAAAGTGTTTAGATGATATCTTTAAAAGGTTAATAAGAAGAAAGCTGGTTTCTCTATCCAATGAAACTGCTCAAATAAAAACTAATTCACAATAAAGAAATTATATAATGGAGGTATCTATATGCACATTTATGAAGAGTAGGCAGAAGTTTAGGCAAAGACTGGGCTAAAAGTTTAATTTTTTCTGTACTATGAACTAAAGTAAGAAATCTGCAATTTATTAATTTCATTTAACCTATTTTTATTTTCAGCATATTTTTAATTCTACAAATCAAACAATGCTGGCTCCATCTGGTGGTCAAAATAAGCCTCTGTAGCTTCATGAAAATTAGTCAAAACTGGTTAAACAATTTAGGGACTACATGAAATAATATGCTTGAACATTGAACACTGAGGTATGCTTCAGCACT